GGGACCGTGGCTGGAGCCCACTCAGTACACCAAGAGGAAGGACCGAGCATGGTCACCCAGTGCAGGGCATGGCCAGGGAGCTGGGGTCTGGCTTTGTCCTGGGAGGCAGCACCTTTCTGCTGCATGGATCCTTTGATACTCTGCACAGGAGAGCAGACCCTGGGATACGCAGCCATCTGTGTAGAGACGCAGCCTTTTCCGAAATAGCACTTGTGTTTAGACAGGAGCGTTCCCGCAGCCAGCTGTCGGAGGGGTGAGGCCGATTCCGAGGCGGCTGTGTCAGTTATAATTGTGCACCTGAGCAGCTTCCGAGGGCAGCCCTCGTGCAGTGTTCCCACTCTGACGTGCTGCCTCGTTTTCAGATCCACCCGGAAGAAATGCACAGTTTGTTTAATTCAAAGGGTATGGCAGGATTGTGACATTTGGCAGGACCGTTCTCACCCAAAACGCGGAGAGCGAGCTGGACGTTACACCCCCAAAGCTCAGACCTAGACCTGACGGTGTTTTCCAGAAATATTCTTCTCCTCCTGGATGTATGCTTGCAAGGCAAAGGGAAGGGAGCAGAACTTTGGTCCTGGCCTCGTTTCCACTGGCATGAGAACAGCGCATAGTTCCCCAGAACTGGGCAGAAGCCTCTCCCTCCCACAGCCCGAAGCTTTCCCCAGATGTAGAATACTTACCTCGTGGCCCTCTAGTAATCAGGAAGCGACATGAGCGCAGCAAGGAAAGGGCACAGCAGCTGCAGCAGCCGCCGCCTTGGTGCTCAGAGGTCCTGTGGAGCCCAGTGGCGCCTGCAGTGGGTCCCCACTTCCCTGCTGACGAGCCCCAGGTGGAAACGGGGCTGCCCCGGGAAGGGAACGACTCTCCGGGCAGGGCAGGAGAGGCGCGGGTGCGCTGTTTCCTCACCCTGCGCGGCTTCTGGGGACACTGAGGTTCAGGTCCTCTGTCAGAACCCAGAATGGAGCCCCACAGCCTGCGCAGGCCACACTGGGCAGCACTGAGGCGACCACCTCGCTGCGGTCCCTCCCGGACTGCAACACGGTCTGTGACACTGTTGCCTCCCAACAGCCAATGCCATGGATTTGCTAAACATTGACTACACACCCACTCCCGTGCAGGCAGTGAGGCCCAGGCCTGGTGCACTGTGGGCATCCCGAGCCTGCCTGGGCACAGGGCTGAGTCCCCAGCGCCCCCGACCACTGGAGCAGGGCAGAGAGGCGCTGGGACTCGGACAGGACAGGGCTGAGCGACTGTTCATCCCTCCTGTCTCCTTATTTATATAAAGTGTGGGGGAGAGAATAAACTCCAGGGAGCAGCTTCATCTCGATGTTTCCTTATTGGTTATTCCGTCAGCAGTCCAGATGAGCGCAAGGTAGATCTTAACAATAAGATGGACCTGAGTCACCTTCGTGCTCCAGCCATGCCCAGACACTAGAGGCAGAGCCAGGTGCCCTGGCCGGGCCTTCTCCCCCTTCTCCTGCCACCTCCTAAGTGGGTGGGAGGTGCAGCCCATCTCCTTCCGTCTCCTTGCCCCCCCCCCCCCCGGGAGCGGGCGTGGACACCAGCACAGGGCTCTGTTGCCGGCACTCAGGATTGCTGTCCTTGCTCCTTAGAGCCAAGACTCCGCCCGGTGCTGACACACAGGCTCATCCCTGGCTCCTCTTCCCCGCTGTTGTCAGCAGCACCTTCGGGTCCTTCCAGGGCAGGAAGAGGCACAGACGCACGAGTGGAGTGCTCAGTGCGTCACGCGGCACCACAGCCTGCACGCGGTCCTGCCAGAGGCCGCGCCAGGCATCATCGGCCTCACACAGCGGCTCGGCCAAGAGACCTCACGAGAGTGGAGGATAGGGAGGTGTCACCTGTCACTGCGCCCGCCTCTGCCTGTGGGAGGTCAGAAAGTGTTTCCAGGCTGAAGACAAATGTGTCCGTCCCTTCCGATAAGGGTTAAAGTGCAGTGTCATTTGCTGTCAGAAACCAGCTGTGCCTGGGGCGTGGGTGCGGCTGAATGTGCAGACTGAGCTTTACTGGGGTGCACCCAGGTGTCTTCTGGCTTCGTGGCTTTGCGCCCGTCTGAGGTCCCGGGTCTGGCAGCCAGGAGCAGAGAGAACTGGGCAGGCACTGCGGCAGGAAACACAGCTCTGTGTCTGTGGGCGCTGTCTTGTTGCCCACTCAGAAGGAGCCAAGGGGAGAGGCAGGCGGGGGCCACTTCCGCCAGGTCCTGGGCTGCTGGTGCCAGAGGTGACCTCCTGTCCCTCCTCATGGGCGGGGAGGAATCCCCGGGTCACCAGCCTTGAGCAGGAATCTTAGGAGCTGCCCACCTTTCCCACACTCGGAATCCGTCATTTTGGACAAGGAAACAAGGCGGCAGCCAGTGATGAGCATCTCCTGCCCAATCCACACAGATGCCGGGAAAAGAAACTGGGTAGAGGGGAGAGAAGCACTCAGCTCAGGAGATGTCTTCGCCTTGGGCCCTTACGTTGGGCTGAGGGTGTGAAACGTGAAAGAGGAACGCTCGATTTGGTGGAAAGCTGGAAAATAGCATCCCACATGGAGCCCAGGCAATTTTACTGTAGTCTGATTTTTAGTTAAGCCCTCACTCGGTGCAGCCTGGCTGTCTTCAGCCGCCGACCCCCGAAGCCCCGAGTTGTGGTCCAAAGGAGGTCACGGTGCCCGTTCCTCAGATGACAGATCTGGGGCACAGCAGATCTGAATACTCACGTCCCTGTCCCCGAGCGGCAGGAGCCTCAGAGGGAGGTGCTGACACACCTGGCCGGCCGCACGCGCGGGGCGCAGCGCATGTTCCGGGCTCCGGGCTCCAGAACCAGCGCAGAGGCAGCCCCAGGCCAGCGTGGGTGCCGGACTCCCGGGCCAGCGCGGAGGTCTGCGGCTGGGGGGCGGGGGGCAGCGCCGTCCTTGCAGCCTCGAGCCACTCACCCAGCTACCCCGTGGCTCCGCTGTCGTTGGGAATCAACGGCCAGCGCCTTCCGCGCTAGGCCCCTCCAGCCGGGCGACGGTTCTGTGGTGGGCGCTTCTCCGCCCCCTTCCATTGCGAGCCTGCTGCAGCTCCGCCCTTGCCGTGCGCTACCCGAGTGTCCACTCTGCGGGTGGCCTTGTGCTGGTGCCATGGTGGTCGTAAGAACTCGGGGTGTGACTCGCACTTCCCCGAGGGCCCATGCACCTGACGTCGCGTGGCCGGAAATGCGCGTCCGCGCGCACCCCTGCGGTAACCGGTCACCTACCGGCCAGGCGCGTCCTGGGTGCTTTCTCCGTGCTCATCGGTGGCAAGGAGAGGAGAGGAGGACCCGGACACCGGCTGAAAGCTCCCTCCCCTCCGCGGCCTCGCCTTGAGAGCCCCGCGTCATCCCCTAGCGCCTTTCCGCCTGACATCCTTTCCGGGACAAACTAGGCCATAAAGAAAGGGAGTTATTTAAAACAAAGACACTTTTCGCACTCAGGAAGTGGACGTGTAGGTGCTTCGTGAACGACAGGCTGGGCGCTGGGAGCACGGGAGGGGAGCTGCGGGCCGGGCGGCGCGGTAATGTCAGCTCCCCCTGACCCACCTGGCTGAGTGCGACTCTGTGATGTCTCTTTCCTCCTAAATATGTGAGCCTGAAAAGATAAGCCTAGGCAAACTGAAGTCACGGAAGATCTTCATAAATCATTTTAAATGCATTAAAACATTTTGATCATTTGCACACAGCTTGTGTTTACATGACAATAAATAAGCCTTTCATCGGAAAAGACACTGGCTGGAACATATGTTTGTGGACCACAATATTTTGACACACACACAAAAATAAATGGCTCTAGCCTTTTTCTATGTTTTTCCTTGCTTTTGCATGATGAAGGGAGTTTCCGGGGGAAGGGTCTCGGCTGGAGTGTCCCTGGGGCAGGGTCGCTGTGGAGAGCCAAGCTGGGGCCCTGAGCAGCGATTCACACCCCTCATGTCTGCAGGGTGGGGGCTGTGGGGGACCCCAAAACCTGTGCACGCCGAAGGCTGTCCCCACACACATCCGCCACAGCCAAGCACGTCTACACCCCCTGCTGCCTGGTAAAGGCTGTGTGAAGGACCAGGGCAGGGCCTGCACACTCGGTGCACACATGGCTCTTTTCCAGATACGTTCAGCCCATGGTTGGCTGAATCCACAGATGTGAAATCCACCGATACAGGAAGCCAGCCGTGTCTTCCTTTAAATTTGGATTTTTATGAAATCAGTTGTGTTGTGAGCTAGGAGTCCTGATAGTTAAAGGAACCTGGCGTTGTTTGCGACCACAAAGTTCTTGTGAAATACAACCAAGTCACACTCATTACAGCACCTTCCATAACTACAGTCAGCAGTGGGTCTGCATCCTCAGCTGGGGTGTGCGGGAGAGCAGCTGGGTGGGTCCACAGCCAGCGCCAGGCACAGAGGCAGAGAGACCTGCGGATGCTGCAGCCACCGACCTGACCGTGCGGAGTGTGCTGGCGCCCTGTGATTGCTGTCACTTTCTCATCGCGTTTGCGTTGCTATTAAAATTTTAAGTGCCTAGAAAAAGTATAGCCTTGAGATAGAATCGCCACGTCAACTTACAAACAAAGAGAAACAAGCATTTGTGGGGATCCATAATTCCCAAAGCATTTTGGAGCCCTGGCAACACAAAATAGGGCCGCAGGTAGGGGTGGAGGCTGCTATTATTTGTGTGCTTTTTTCAGTCTGTATCTTTATATCTTCTCATCTCTACCTAAATAAGAAAAAATGTCAGCACTCCAGGGTTTGTCCTCTGCAATGTCCCACTAAGATCCTTGATCCCGTTTCTGCCCTGGCTGCAATTTGTAAACATCTCCTCAGACGGGATGTGATCATCTTGGGCTCCAGCCTGAGGAACTGCGGTAGCAGGGATTCGATATGCAGGACTAAATGCTGATCAGCAGAGCATAATGTTGTCTTCTGAAGGATCCTGGCAAGACTAACATGAATTTCTCCCCTTCTTTCTCTCCTTGCCCTGAAACCCCCTCACAGCGCCTGCACTTGCCTCCAGACCTGTCAGACTCTGTGAGCCGCTGGAGCAAACAGGATGTGGCAGGATCCGCCCGGCAGCCGGGCCTGGGCTGCGGCGGGATGGCTGAGGGCGCCAGGCACCTGGACTTCTAGGGGCCCGGCCTCACTCATTAGGGCTGCTAATGGCTTAGGTAAATATTGCTCCTAATGACGCGACCCTGTCATCCTCGGAAACGCGGTGAGGGTCACCAAAGGGGGCCTCGGCCCGGCTCCTCAACCAACTCTCTACCCTTTTATTCTGGAATTTGCTGTGTTTAAAGAAAATAGGTATTTTATTTTTCAATAAATCCAAAACAAGGGTCAAAAGAATCAAGATGCCTAACAGTGGTCATTGTGTGTGTGCTGAGCTACGTCAGGTGTCAGAGTGAAGTGCACGTGCCAATAACACGCAGAACACTGACACGCATGCTGTGTGTGAATGCCTTTTCTCTTTATTTCTGGAAAAGTCACTTGTTACCAAAAATGCTGTTTTTTTAAGAAAATCCTGTTGCTGGTATATAAAATATGTCTGCATTCATGTACAGTTATTAAAATGATGAAGACAAAATAATACTTGGGATTCGGACTCTGTTAACTAGTCTGTCAGAGCGGGTGATAAACAGCCAGCCCTGGAGTGGGAGGGAGCACTGGAAATGAAGGTCCTCTGCTGTCTCGCGGTCCTGGGCAGTCGGAGTCAGCAAGGAAACTGTGTCATCAGACACAATGCAGGACTGAGATTCAAACTGGCAGCTCTGTCACTGCTGGGAGGGCGGGAGAGACAAGCCTGGGGCTTGGAGAGAATCGTAGGGAATGGAGGTCCAAGACGAAGTGGAAAAGTGAAACCAACCCAGATTCCCACTGCATCAACAGGAAGCCTTCGTTAAGTATGAACCTCGGCTGAGTACGGAAATTTCTGAGCATACAAACCTGTCTCTTGGGGTGTATGGTCTGTTGAACCAGTTTTCATATAAAACATGAGGTTTGAAATCATAGTTCCATGTTCTCGAAGATTTTGACAATTAATGGACAAAAAGTGAAAGTGAAAAGGTAACTTGCATATTTCAGTCGAGCATCTCAATTTAAAACATATTTAACATCCTTTGGGAGAAACTGAAATTCCAAAATGCATTTTCAAATGTACTCGAGTATTTTGAAGCAGTTATAACTAGCGTTTTTAAGCAATTTTCTTTTAATATACCACAAATTATACTTTATTTGCTCTTGACAACATTGTAGAAAACAAAGACTAGGTTTTTAAAACTGTCTAACCAGTATGATGAATGTCAGTCACTTAAAAAAAGCCCACTGTAGCATAAACACATGCTGTATACAGCTTTTATTCGGAATTGCAATAATTGAATCGATGACAGCGATTTGCCAGGGTGTCAAATCTCTCCATCACACCCTGTCACTACCAGTTTATTTTTTGTGATGAAAATCAAAAAGACAACTATTTTGTCACCCACTATTTCATTCGTACTAAAAAATCAGGTTTATTCTTTTTTTTTTTTTTTAGAATGTCTGATTTATTTTTTTTCATCTCTTTTAATTCTAAAGACACAAATTCTTCTCCATTTTCTTTTCAAAATAAAGTTCCAGGATTGATCTGTCAGTTAAAATTAAAAGGCTTTTCTATTAAGCAAAAGTGCTTTTAAGATTTAAAGCAACTAGATAACAAATGATGCTCTGCAGGTTCCACAAAGCCTTGGGGCAGCCTGAATAAATTCACATGAAGACTTTACTCAGGTTATTACTTTAATAACCAGCCTTTTCCTTACTGTGTTGTGGATCATTTTATGCAAACACAGAACAGAACAATTACACAGCACTTGACTCTGAGAAGGAAACACGAGGTCACCAGATATGTAAATTGCTTGTCAGGATACTTAATAGGTCATTGATTTACTTCCCCATACCATATCTATAAAATTAACAGCCAATTACTGGTTAATATATGCTGCACAAAGATAAATACTGTAAAAACCTAGTGTGTCTACTTAGACCCTTATTTAAGATATGAAAGAAACTCTTCAAACTCAATAAAGTGCATTTTAAACAATAAAAGGAACCTAGGCTTTCAAAAAGAATCAGCTTTGTTTTTTCTGACTCACTGGACATTCTCCGTGAAAGGAAGGTACTCCTGCTAGAGAGCGTTTACATTTTTGCTTTTCTCTGATAAACACCAACCCTAAAAACATGTTTCCTTTCCTCCTAGAAACATGGTTTGTTCTCCATTACCCTAATAACTCACTCCAAAAACTAATGGTCTTCAAAACTGCTGCCGTATGTATATACACCCTTGTGATATATTATGAAATATGTATCTATGAACAGATTTTTGAGTTACCAGTTTGACTTAAAGATATAAATACTTAAGAACAATCCCAGTGTAATGTGTTGAAATGTCCTCCTATCTTTTAAATGTTTCCAGTAGGTGAACTTCGGGGCCCTGTGTGTTCTTCATTTCTTACGCTAGATCTGCCTTTCTTCAACATGAGGTAAATATTTTGACTACCGCAGTCTGCTCAGGTACTGGGGCTCTGAGCCCTTCTGAATTTCTTTTTAGTAGCCACCAGCCAACATCCACTTTTCTCTTCCTCTCTTCATTTATTCTCTTGCCAACTCCAGGATCTCCAATCACTGGCACTAGACGACATGAAAGTACTTCACCAGGAAGAGACATTCTCCAGTCAGTTCCGGTCTACCTCTTAACTTCAGTGATTGAGACACACGAACACGCACACACAAAGGGGGCCCTGCTGGTTTGTGTCCGCCCGTGACGAATGTCACTGAGGTGCTGAGCTCCTGCCCTTCAAAGTCCCCGTGGCAGCACAGAGAGGAGGCTGCCTCACCAGCTCCACTGTGGATCAAAACAGCAGCCAGTCACTCTCGTGAACGAGGAAAACAGAAAGAGGTATATTCCTGAGAAACGAAGAGCATGTGTTTGACCCCGGTGAAGCAGACACACAGACCAAAAATAGCTCTTTTCGGCTTTTTGTCTTCCTAACCCTAAGACCCAGAGCACGTAGCAGTGGGCAGGATCCAGACACCCTGCCGGTGGCCACTCACACCAGCACCGAGCCCTAAGGCAGCATGGTCCAGATCAGCCTAGGAAGCCATGAGGTGATGCTACACAGGGAGAACTGGGGTGAGAACCGCCTGGAGAAGCCAGGTGTTTGCTTCGTTTGTGTACAAGTTAGGAGACACCGCTTTGGAGGAAAAAATTTCTGGGGAATTCATCCCTCTAAAAAGTGCTTTTTACCTAGAGCGATTCCGCTCTTGTTCTGTTCACCTAGCTTCCCAAAGTCAGTCAAATTTGGAGAAGAACTTTAGGCTGCTAGTCCAGTGTTTTGCTGAGGCCATCGTCCTGGAAACCAGCATCAAAACGTCCCTGCGGGGCTCCCACTGGTAAATCTATAAGTGCACCTATCCGCAAATAAATCAACAAATGTAAGTTATCACATCAGCAGGCAGGAGGCCAACTGCCAGGCACAGCCACCTGAGTGTCACTGTTCCTGCATCCCTGGTGGCTCCTGGGATGGTGCACATTCCGGCGTGTGGCTGCAGGGAGGCGCTGTCCCCTCCCTGCTGTACACACACAGCCTCCGCCCCGCCACGGCCCACCGGGCCCAGCCTTGCGCCCAGTAGGTGCCACCCAGCAGAGCCACGGGACCCTGGCCACAACAAGCCACTTGGAAACTGTCCCTCCTTTCAGGAGAAGCCAGCCACTCCCAAATCTCTGACAGTCCCCTAGGCACCACAGCTGGGACGCAGGGTCTGCAGGGCAGCAGGAGCAGAAAGGCCCGCCCCGGCCAGTGCACCAGCAGGGCGTTGCGCCCTTGTGACACACACACGCACACTGCAGGCCACGCACAAGGTGCTGGTGGGAAGAAAGCACTAGCAAGCAGCAGGCCCGAGAGTGGCTCCCAGCACCCTGCCTGACGCACAGAGTGGTAGGTGCCGAGCTAGGTTAGGCTCCAGTCTCCCAATTAATTTCTGCCTTTTTGATCATCTCCCTTTGAGGAGTAAGAAAAAAGAACAAAAGCGGAGTGCAGTCCGGGGGTGGTGCATCCCTTCCCCACAGGCCTCTGCTGTGGGAGCGTCCTGACCGTTTGCAGTTCGCGGGCGACTTCTCTTTGTGGGCTCACATTTTGCAGAGTGGACAGAAACCACAGCCTCGCCCAGGCCTTCCCAAACCAGCAAAGCTTATTTCTCTCCACGCTCGACTCGGCTCGCTCGGCTCGAGCGCTCCCGCTCCGCACGCCGCCACAGTGGCCGAGCTGGGTGGCGAGGCCTCCACCCCCGCCAGCCAGGCGCTCTGCTGTCACCGCGGACGTGTCCCCGACCCCCACCCTACTGGCCACAGCGCGCAGAGCCAGGCTCCAGCAGAAGAACAGCAGGGTGGCGCCCCCCCCCCCCCGCCCCGGGCTCGGGGCTCGGCCAGGCAGCGGCCCCCCAGAGCGGGCAGCAGCTTCCGGGCATCCTGCTGGAGGAACTCACTTCTCAGTGTGCTGTAAGAGGCCACTGCTGAAACAGGCGGAGAATGGAAATCCGCCCCAGTGTACACCAGGCCCTAACTCGGCAAGCCGACCTCACCAGGGCACTGCGTCTGAGGTGAGGGACCCAGAGGCTAGCTGGGGAAGGGCTGTGGGTGTGGACGGGTGCAAAGCCAACCACTTCCGGGATTCTCTCTGGTTCATGCTATCTGGAAGAACTGTTTCCTTAAACATCGTCAAGATGTGGAGTAGAGTTATGTCGGGAGGGGACCATTGGCCTAGAATGTTAATCCAACACGGAAACAAAATTTGTAACACCACACTATAAGGTTAAAAAGAAAATGGTATAATAAAGGAAATACAAAGGCTTTGGCATGGTTTTTACAATCAACAGTGGTTAATTCTGATATGTAGTTGTGAACAACTTCAAAACACTTAAGTTTAAAACTCTTGCAAGCACTTTTAATTGATTAGGAATGAATTCTAGATGCACAAAATGATTGGACCGTGAACAGTAATACAACTATATCTAAGACAATTAACTTCTGCTGTCCAAAAAAGAAATGTATGATTGCATGGAAATGTGTATAAAACATCTATAGAGTATTCTTGTCAAATATAAATGAAATTAACTTTATTATAGAAATCATTCTGAGGATTTCTAGGGAAGACAAACACTTACATTTCGACATGAAACAAATCGGATTATATCGAAGACACACTCTACCCCTTAGCAATCACCTTTTTTCTTCCTTGAATTTATATCTCACCCTTTTTTTGCACATAAACTTCATCTGTTAACAACCTTTGGAAAACCAACATATTTCTTACATAAATCTGGTGCGTGTCGTTCCAGGTTTAATTGTATGCAAAGGAATGATACAAACGCGGAACATCGGTCCATAAACTAGGAACAGATGAGTAGAAGGACTCAATATATCTGGATAAAACTCTTTAAATTCGTGGCAAATCTTGTTGATCATGGTTTCCTTTTTTCTTTCTTTAAACAACCTCATGACCAACCGAGACCAAACCTCCATCCAGTCCAAGTTGTTCTTTTGTTTTTCATTATAACATACAAATGCCCATTTACAAATAATACACCAACATGAATAAAGGTTTGGATACCAAAATGAAGCTTTGTTCCAACTGAGTGCCTCCGCATCAGAGGTCCTGGTGGGTGAAGTGCTTTAGCGCCGAGCACCTGCATGTCCACAAAAGTCACTGACTGAGTAACACAATTTCCTCTTCTTTTTTTACTGTAATCTTGGCCAATATTGAGACATATCAGGTTCACTTCCAGGAACCTGGACTGGAACGGACACGCCGGGAGAAATGAGGCCTAGAAATGGAAGGAAGGAAGAGCTATGTGGATAACTGTCTTCAAGGGACAAGCACAGAGGATGGATTTATAGGCTTTGGAAAATCTTCAATACTCTATAATGTGGTTTACTGTATTTTTAAAAATATTGCGACTCTTCCAAGCCAGGCTTGGTGATATACACCTGTCATCCCAGCACTTGGGAGGCTGAGGCAGGAGGATCGCCTTGAGTTGGAGGCCAGCCTGGGCTGGATATTGAGTTCAAGATCATTCTGGACTACACAGTGAGACCCTGTCTCAAAAAAATCAAGGTAAAAAACTAAAAGAAGTTAAAATACTGAAGAACCTTTCAAACAGCAGCACCACCGGAAACTAGACAAGCTGTGCTACAGACATAGCTACTGAGGCCCTAGCCCCCAGCCCACAAGGGAAGGAAATGGCTCCCATGTGCATGTGCCTCGCCTGTCCCCGGGAGACCACGCGTGCTGAGACCCGGGTTGCATGGAAAGACCCGCGGGAGCCGGGCACAGACATTCTCCCCACAGCACTGGGCACACAACTTGGGAGCCTCAGGCCTCGCCTTCTACACAACTTCAGGGCCAGATTAAGGAAAAGCCACCTCCCATATGGCGTCAGGTTACCAGCTGGCTTAACTCAGTTTCCCCCTCAGGCAGTTTTGCCCACAGACTAGTGCGGCAGAGTTGCACACACCCGCACAGGCAGCTCTTTCCGGCTCAGCTTTGAGATGGGCTGGCGAAAGTGCTGCAAAGGCCAGCTGTGTGCAGCCCACAGGTGCCGCGAGGCTCACCTGTAGACGTGGTGCCCGAGGTGCCCATAGGCTGGCTATTCATGTGGGTCTGCATGTGTGGGGGCGTGTAGGTGTCATAACTCCGCCCGTTCACCGATGGGCTGGTGGGCAGCATGCAGGAGTACGAGGAGGTCTGGCTGGGGACAGGGGGCTGCAGAAGAGAGGAGATATGGGTCACCAAGGAGCACGGCCACAGCCAGGCTCAACAGCCCACACATCAGCACCCTAAAGCTGGAGCCCCTCGTGGTGAGCACGCCTGTAACCCCAGCACTCAGGAGGCTGAGGCAGGAGGCTCCCATGAGTTCAAGGCCAGCCTGGGCTACATAATGAGACCCTATCTCAAATAAAAACAAACAAAGCTCTGTGCATTCTGACAACGTCCAGCACAATGGCTGGCGCTGCCCACGCGTGGACAGGACAGGGCTTCTGGCCACTGTCTCCTCTGGCAGCACCCTCAGACCTGTGGCATGAGGACCCCATCACTAGATGTCCCCCTTGTCCCTGCTGATCGGGTCTAAGCCCAGCCCTGAGCCCCAAGCTCTGTGGCAGAGCACAAGAACTTGGGAGATGCAGATCCGTGACGACCACCGGTGACCATGGCAGAGCTGCAGGAAGCAGAAGCTGCCCTGTCCCGAGCTTAGCTCAGGTGGGGTCATCCACAAAGCTGTGCTGCTCCCCAGTCAGTGCTTAGAGGGCAGCGCCCGGGTGGCAGACAGCCCCTCCTCGCAGCTAAGAAACAGGAGGGCAGGTGGACTCCCTCGCGGGCAGCCTCAGGATGAGTCCCTAGAAGCATCGTGTTCGCATCGAGGTAGATGACAGCACCACTTGTCGCTGTGCAGGGGGACCCCGTTCTCAGGGGTGAGCGGCCCAGAGTGTGAAACACTGGGGATGTTGGTCGCCAGGATGGACAGACAGATGGACAGACAGCCCACTCCAGATGCAGAGCTGTCTTCCCCGAACAGGGAAGCCCTCGCTCACGAGTCTGTTTGCTGAGCGCGTGCTTTCTGAGTTATGTAAACCGAGTGATTCTGAAAAGTCCTCGTGTGAAATGCGCTGACCCTACACCCGCCCACGTGTGCACCCAGCACCACCTGTGTGCTCGTTTCTCATTGCTTTCTCAAATACAAGGCACACAATGGACTTGTGACACTGGTCTCATTAAAGCAGGCCATTCAGCGTCTAGTTCAGAGAGGCAGACGGCCTGAGGGCCCTGCCGCAGCTTCAACTCACATCAGGCTGACGCCCTGCACCAGGTGGCTGGACTTCCGGGAAGCTGCAGGGCAGCCACAGGAAGTGACTGCCAGCTGAGCGCACAGCGGTCGCACGGAGCCCGATCCTCAGGGGCAACAAAGTCCCCCGAAGCCGCTTACCTCGCCATTCTAGGCGAATCTGGGGCCCAAGACCTCTGCTTTCCTCTCACTTGGATCTGAAACCCAGCACACATGCTGGGTGGAAACAAACATCTGCACTACCCAGAAGCATTTCCAGTCCGCGCCAGCCGCGCCTCTAACTGTGGCCCCACAGGGAGACCAGGAAAGCCACCACTGTCATGGCCACCATAGACCGAAGGGAGTTTTCTGCTCCACATCCAGAACGCACCCAGCAAGCAGCCTCTGGTTCCCTGCCCGCCCATGCACCTACATTACCCAGCACCAGCCCGGCCCGCACAGGGGCAGAACTGGGAACGGGCAGTCAGCTGCCAACTGAGCAGCAGTGAACTCGCTGCATTCCCAGTGACCATGTCCTGCTCCTCTCTATAGGGCTGGACAGGCCGAGCCGGTCACCATGGAGACACAGACCCGAGGGTGCAGCCCCTGCTGCCTCTTTCTGCGGCCTGGCAGGCAGCGCCCGCTTACCTGCATAGGCAGGCTGTTGGCCATGGTGAAGCTGGGCATGGGTGGCAGCGCGCTGTATGTGTTGGTGAGGGCCGTGTCTGTCCGGCCCAGCATGGAGCCAGACGTGAAGGAGGACACTGCAGAGAGAGAGGCCCAGCCCGGGTGAGCAGCGCGGCCAGGCCAGGCCAGGCCGGGCCAGGGGTCGGGAGCGCGTGCAGGTGTGCGCGCCGTTACCCGGGGTGGTGGGCTGCGGGATGGGCTGGTACACGCTCGTGCTGAAGCTGCTGCTGATGGGGATGTGGCTGGGGGTGTTGCTGGCCTGTCTCCGCTGGTTCCTCAGCTTCTCCTCTCGTCTCCACTTGGCCCTTCTGTTGGAAAACCAGACCTGCGAGGAGAGGATGCAGCTCAGCCCGGCCTGCACCAGTCCAAGAGCCCTGGGCCGCCGTCAAGGCTGCTCCTAGGGGAGCCCAGGGTCCAGGAAGGCGGCGCAGCCATACCTGTATTCTCGCTTCAGGTAGGTCTATCTTGGCTGCTAGTCTTTCCCGGGCGAACACATCTGGATAGTGGGTTCTCTCAAACTCTGCAAGAGGAAGTGGATGCGATGCCGGGTCAGAGGGGCACCCAGGTGCAGCCCAGCCCTGGACCGAGCCCGCCCATCACCCGCCAATGCGCGAGTGACGCAGGCACAAGCAGCGCCAGGGCGTGAGTGACACGCAGTGACCCTCTGTGCCTGGGGCAGCCAGAGCATCACACTTCCTCTCTAAATCGACCTCTGTCTCTGAATGACTGGGACAAGAAAAGAAGAAAGAAAACACACAGACCCTGAAAAGATGCCTGGAGGAAAATTAAAAGACAGAAAAGAGCGAGCTTTTCAGCCCTCTGTGCAGAGCCCTGGCGAAATCTAGCTCTGTCCCTGAGACGGCGTGGGGCTGACGCCCGTGGGCATCACCTTTCTCCAGGGCCTCGATCTGCTCCTGAGTGAAGGAGGTCCTGTTCCGCTGCAGCTTCCGCTTCAGCTGCAGCCGCATCTGCGCCTCGTCCGAGTCCTCCCCGTTGGAGCTGATGGAGTTGGTGTTCTCCCCCGCTCCTTCCTGCTGCTGGCACCCATCTGGACAGAAGGAAGGGCATGCTGAGAGGCCAGGAAGGACCCGCGGGCAGCGGAGGGCCCAGAGATCGGACCCGAGCAGCCCCCTGCCAGGGTCTCGGGCATTCCCTAGGTAACCAGGTGCCCGCCTCCCTCGGGGGAGGCCACCAGCAAGGCGGCTGCCCTCCTCCCCTTCCTGTCTTTACCAAGCCGAGACCACACTGTCCACTGAGCACAAGGGCATCTCTCTGAGTGACAAAACCATCACTGAAGTTTAAGCAGCCTCGACTCCCAAAGGCTTCCCTAGCCCCTTTCCCCCAGAACGTCTCTACCTATGGCTGTGTTGGGAAAATACAAGAGTGACGTGCAGGATTTCAGCTGATCTATAATCAGTAATTCCCATCTAATCAATTAGATGTTGATAGGTTTGTAGAAAATGCTATTAAGAAACCAAACCAAGCTTGTAATCTTTAAAAAAAAATATTTATCTAGTTTTTATTTGAATTCTGCACAGTCAATTTCATTTTAAAGGTTGTGAATTTAGAAGTGCTTGCATTGTTCTGCAGTTTTATTCAACTATTGTATGAGTGCGCGTCGCCTTGACACCTATTACGAGCACAGCTGTAATTATATCATCACCAAGAACAGGCTATAATTGCTGAAAATGGAATTTTATATTTAGATAAAAGGACTGTCCATTCTTTGTAATGTGTTGCACCAGAGAAAAGTAAGATTTCTTTTAAATTTTTAACGTGTAATTTTAAAAAAGAAATGGAGAGTTCACTAACTCGCTCAATATGCTACTCTGCAGCTGAATCCTTGGCATCTCGTTTAAGTGGTACATTTTTAATTAGGGCATTTCCACCACTTTTAATGTAATTTCTATCATTAAACAGGGGAAAGTTTTATTGTTTTCCTTTGCCGTTTGGAGACCAAGATGTGTGCTCGGGCTCTCCGTCTGCACCTTGCCTGTCTGCCGGAAAGGACTCAGGGCTCGAAGGCCAGACACCGGGTCCTGAGGCCCGGAGGGACACCGAGGGACCCCCGAGGGACCCCAGGACGGGCCAGCTCGGGGGAGGGGCGGGCAGCCCGGTGGGAATCGGCCAGGCCAGGAATATCATTCATAACCAGGACACAATGGGCAGCGCCTTCAAAGAGCCCAGGGAATTGTGACAGGATCTAGTTGGATCCTTTCAGGAACTTTGAAATGTTTTAAAACCCCAACTTTCTCCCCCATTTAAACAGGCGGATTCATCGGCACTGGCCACCATATGGGCCCTCGGAGATCTATTGAGATGACCACCAACACTTGAATAGCGCGGGGCCGCTTTTCAGCACGCACAAAGCCCCGCGAGTAAGGGAAACTATTAAACTCCTGGGCAGGAGCGTTGGCAAACTTTCGTGGGCAGAATTTCGAGGCCACAATGAGCATGGACAACAAAAGGATTCTCTTGAGGCGTGCAGCGGGCCACATTGTGTTACAAGAAGCCAGTCAACAGACTTCCAGCGCAGTGTGTTAACCCCCGGCTCTGCCATCATTAATCACTGTCCGGAGCAGGGCGCGGGGGCTTCCCGTGCGGGACGCCGGGGGTGGGGACGGGCCGGGAGGGGTAGGGAACGGGGGCGGGGAACCGGGATGGGGGAGCTGGGGGACCGGACCAGCGTGC